AATATTTTTTTCAATGGGAATTATATTCCAAACTAAAGTTACATATGTGTAGAATATATTTAATATGAATCTTATATAGTACATGACTATAGATATTATTGATATATATTGGTGTTTTAGTGTAAGATGGTCTATATGAATAGCTTGCTAGCAGTTGAAACAGTCTTGCTGACAGGATGTCTTGTACTTTTTAAGCAAACAAACCTTAATCATAAACTTTGATTATTGTAACGTGTGTTCTTTTCTTTCTCCTGCCCCCAACTGTTCATATTTTTTTTTGTGGTTATTGCTTTAAGGAAAATTCTTTAACACAGTACTAGATCATAAAAAAAAGTATTGTTCATATTGTAAGATTTCATATCTGTATAGGACAGAGTTTTCAAATTGATTTGTAAATAGCACTAATGCTTCTTTTTTTCTTTGAGAACTACAAATGGAATAATTCTTAAAACTAAATAAAATATTGAATTGCATTATGGGTGTTTCTTTTTAAACTGTTACTACTTCCTCCTTTTGTCCTTTGTGATCGTGAAAATAAATGTTTGAATTGCTAATTTTGGAGAGAGGGAGGGGACTCTCCTTTAGGTCCTGCAGTAGGATCTTTAATTTTACTTGGGTGGGGGGGAGGTTGGGGTTATTAACCCTCCCCCCTCTTGCAAAACAAGGTGTCTTAGGAGCATTAAACACAAGTTAAACATGTTTGTCGTTTGCACTATGCTGGAAAATATGAATGGTTGTGTACCTTTCTGTCTCCTGAAGCTAAAAATTAATATTTATTTGCTTAGTAGACCATAACTCATTTCCAGTTATGTAGATTTTGGCTTAAGTGCTTAGCTGCTTTATGGGACTGGAACCCACAACCTTCCTGACCCCTCCTGTATCTGCTGAAGATCAAAAACTTTGTGTAAAGGAAAAAGGACCCATTTTTGACCTAGTTTGACTACAATGGAGTTCTTAATTATGTATCTTCTAGCTGATGAATGTTCCTTCTGTCCTTAAATGACTTCTGGCCCCAGGTGGTTTCCAGAAAAAGGGGCTGCTTCTTTGGTCATAACTGAAGGTGGTTTAATAGCCTTGCCATCAGGCAGATGCAAGCTCTACCAGGCAGTTGTGGCAGATCCAGGTTTGAATTCAGTCTGACACCTGTCAGTGCAGGTTTGACTTGTCCATAAACACACGCCTTCCCACACACTTAAAGGCAGATAAAACCCTGTGTTATCCAACCCCAAGTAAATTACATGCATAGGCTGTTGCAGTAATTTCATATTGGGGGGTGGGGTCGGTGTTTTTATTTTTGGCTTTTGTTGAGGACACAGACCACATCTTCCAGGGAATGAGATTGAACAGAGCTACAGGGGTGAGTCTGTCCAATGGCACTGGCCAGGCAGCCCCGCTAGCCTGGAAGCATGCTACCAGACATGCTGTCTCCACTTCACAGGCAGGGTCCTGGCCTTCAGTGGGTGGCCCCTCGTTTCATAACCTGCCATGTCTGGGTACCAGCTGGAACCTGGTGCTGGCAAGCCTAGTGCCATTGACTTTGTCTGGCTACACAGAGTGCTTTTTTTTGTCCCGTGCGTACCCAAGCCATTTAAAACTGGCAAAGTAAATCAGCCTGGATTTACCCCAGTTCCCACTTTACAGGACAACCGTGTGGTAATCCTCTGTGAGCATGTGTCACCTTCCACACGCCAGGTCAGATCCGGGGGGTGTGTGACACCTAGCCATGAGTTGCCCTTACCTCTGTGGTTTATAGGTCCCATCCAACATCGTGCTGAAACATGTTGTCTATGATGCAGTAATGGTTGAATTTGCAGTGCTCATTTTGCTTCAATACCCCCACTTGCCTGTTTTACTTAGGGCTGCCACGTTCAATGTGAAGAAATAAGGGATGGTCCGGTCCTTTCCCCAGGGGGGATGCTATAATTTTTGGGAAAACTAGTAAGTACACTCTGAAATGCTTTATTGCAAGACTAAATAACAAAATCACTAAAAATCACACAAACAATTAGATATTAAAAAACATAAGCATAACCTCGTGTCCATCCCAAACACATGGAAACAATCAGTGACAGCAAACATTCCCTAAAAAATACATCCTATAGAAAAAAGTCTCCTTGTTTCTGCAGCAACCATTCAGTCACTGATTATTGCCTAGTTTTGTTGGTTGCACTATAATATATGGTTGTGTAGGCAATGTAAAATGAATTAAACAAACAACAATATGCCATGTCTGCCTCGGGGGAAGTCTAAGGTATTAGCAATCGAGCAATTCCGTTCTGTCATCTGCTCTTTAGCTGCTCGGATCTGGGTAGCACCTGCAACGTGTTATTTCAAGTCACTAGCAGACATCAGTAACCTGGAAAACAGCGACTTGGGTTTAACCTTCAGCTGTGCGAGCCAACCACCGGTTCAGGGCTAACGGCAATGATGACGCAGACGTGACGTCATATCTGACAGAGCGCGCGGAATTTGTCGGTTTGTAACGGTAGCTCACCGCAAACTTATTCTCTCCGCTTGTATAGCTGGTTCGATTTTACTTTTTCTTAGGTCATTCTCTGGCATTCGAAGAGCTAGTGTCAATATGAAACGACGTGTACGAAAATACGGACAAATCGCGTCTCTTGTCGTTTCAGTAACTGACGCAGCACTTTGTGTTCGAATACGGGTCGATCCCACATTATAAGGTGGCAGCCACAGTTATGTTAAGTATTTCGTAATGGCTCAGCGGCGAATGTATGAGTATTTCTCCGAAAATACTATCCTTGTTAGCTGTTGACATCTACCCGTAATACAAAAGAACTTAAGTTCATTGGTCATTCCGACTTTTAGCACCCTGAGCTCAAAACGTCTTCCCGCGTTTATTCTATGACGAATGTCCTTTATACCCCTTGCACACCGGTCAGCCAAGCAAATATGTCAGATTGCTGCTCAGCGTGTTTATTCATATTTGAACTGGAGCTGAACTGAAACCAAGGGGGAGCTCTGCCAACTTGTTATTCATGTCCTCTGAACGCCAGCTGAGCGCGGAACGGGTTGTACCATGGACCAAAGGCTAGTTGGATCTGCAATCATGCAGTGCTCAGTATTGATTTAGTACGCTTTTCGTTGCATTTTATGCTCACAGTTCGATTGTACAGTTTATTAATATAAATTCAAATACAAAGTTTCGGGCAACAATTGTAATTTAAATTTGTATATTTTCTTGTGCGCCGAAAACTGTTATGTGGTTAGGCTGAAAGTGTAATTTATTTCCATATAAATACAAATTCGGAATGGGGAAATAATCTTCGTTATAAAAATATAGTAAAAAGTTATGCGTGAGAAATGTGATAATGAAATATACTGTTAACTGCATACAGTTTATCTACTACTAAATACCGCGATGCTGTATCATCATTGTGGAGAAAGAGACAAAACGTTCCTTTGGCGCCATCTTCCGGTCATATCAAGGTAATGCAATTTGTAATACGTTTAAACGAGCGTGAAGGGCCATTATTTTTAGTGCTTGTCTCAGTGGGTGGCACTGCTACCTCACGCAGCCACGTTTTGGGGATTTGAATACCACTACTCCTCCATGTGTCTGTGGATTTTGTATGGTTTCCTGTGTTGTGCAATTTTCCTGTTTTTTTCCCCTAATAAATTCAGAAGCTTAAAAAAATATAAACCCTCTGTCTGACTGCAGATCTCTGATTTGAAAAGGTCTGATTTAGCAATTTTTCCATGCAGTGACAGTTACAGACATGGGTGTCGATTATGAATTATGGGGGGGGGTTGAATTACACCCCCCCCCCATAATCAAAACCAGCCAATACAACCTTCTGGACACCCTTGAATGGGGGAGACCTCAGCTTCCCTGATGCTCAAACTAAAGTTATGCCCTTGGTTACAAATGACCTAAATTATGGAACAAAAACTTGTTTCATTGAGGAAAAAAATGTTCCAATAGATACATATGTCAAAATTGTAACTGGTATTATTGTAGTGTTAAATTTGATCTTGTTTTAAATTTTATTTTTCAAAGCATGGTTTCCCATTTTTTTTTGCGCAGATGCAGGTCAGATGCTGTTATGTGGATGTCGCCTGCTTTTGTCTCACTGATGCTGTGGTTTTTTTTCCCTCTGAGTCCCAAAGTTACTTGCAGGGCAGTGTGCAGAAGACCTCATCAGAGACCATAACGTCACCTGCAGTCATGTCCTGCTTTGTGTTTCTACTTTTGTGACCTGGTTTATTTAAAAGCAAAACTGCTTCTGCACAGAAAATATTTTGTTATGTAAAATGCTCATAAACAAACAAAATACATTACTTACAAAGTGTCAAAGAATAAGAACACAAAAAGAAATTGTATCATATGGGGAGGACATAAAAAACTTTTTTGGTTAAGTTAGGACCCTCCCAAAGAAAGATTTGCCTGAGACAGCAGGACCCAAACGCAACAAAAAGACGAAATTTTAGGAGGATGTGGCCGGTTAGCATTCAGAACACTTTGTGCACAGGATGAATAATTTTTCTCTGTTTAGCCCTTTAGCAAGCAGCCAGTCCTGTTTCCTTATTCACGGGTCCTGCAAGGCATTAGAACAGGGCTGAGGCAAGACCAGGGCTCTCAAAGCTGTATCAAGGTGACACCAAATAAGCAGGTAAGAGTCATTTTCAGCCTGTAATGTAGATTACACCTCAGGTCACAGTATTGTCAGTACAACAGATTTTATTTTTAGCTACACTATGTTTGGAAGTTTAATGGGTGGCTCCAGGGGAAACAAACACACATTTAAACTGTCAGCAAAATTAACAGACAACTATATCTGTGTCATTGTCACATAGGTACAGGACATAAAAAGATTTTTTTCCCCATGACCTAAAAAATTCACAATATTTAAATTCGAAAAACATGGCTATACAATTCACAAAATATTAGAACATTTATATAATTGCGTTCAGAAACTTATGCACTACTTTTCATGATTTTATAATTCAGTAAATGCAGATCACTTTTCTAACTTGTCTCACCTGGAAACAGCTGAAACTTTAGTCTCCTGACTGACTGGGTGCCCTCGTCGAAACAATCTTAACAAAATATGTTTAATCTCTGTTGTTCTGAAGCAGTAAATTAGGGGGTTAACCAAGGGGGGCAGAAGGCTGTAAATTAGTACCAGCCCTATACGAGCGTCTGTGTTTATTGTTGACATGTAGACGAATAAGCGAGGAATGTAATATATGCTGATAATGCAGAACTGGGTGATACAGATGGAAATGGCCTTCAGCCGACCCTGCATGCTGGCGATGCGGAGGATGGCGATGATGATATGGGCGTAGGACAACATGATGAGAGAGAAGGGCACCATTAACACAAATGATGACAGGGCTAATGCGACTGTGGATTGCATGCTGATGTCGCCACATGCAAGACTGTTTAGTGTCACCATGTCGCAGAAGCAGTGTAGGATCTGGTTCGATCCACAGAAGTACATCTGGGAGGACTGGATGGTGGTGACACCTGGGCAGATCAAGGCCATCACCCAGGCAAAGCCATTGAGGAAGCCCACCATCCTTTTTGTCATTAATGTAGGGTACCTGAGTGGGAAGCAGATAGCCACGTAGCGGTCTAGTGCCATGATCAGCATGATGAGAGAGGTGAGGGTTCCAAAGTAATGTAGCATCTGCCTCTGAAACAGGCAGACGTGGAACGAGATGGTTCCATCGTCAAACCAGTACCTGGCTATGACCTTTGGCAGTGCCACGGTGCAGAAGCCAATGTCGGAGAGGGCGAGGCTCACCATGATGATGTACATGGGCTTCTGGAGGCTGGGCTGTAGCACAAAGAGCACCACAAGGAGGCAATTTTCTGCTACTGCCGTTACATAGATGATGAAAAATCCAGTGGCCATTAAACTGTAATATTTTGAATCCAGCCCAGGAAAACCAATGATGAAAAACTCTGTTACAACGGAGGTCAGGTTTCTCTGTGCCATGCTGAAAAAAAGGAAAGACATGGAACACAGAATTTTTTCAAGTTAAAATATTATCTTACTGGAGAACTTTAACAATCTGAATTCTAAGTCACTTAGCTAATTCAGTTTGCCGCTTATTCAGATGAAAAGTTTTCAGAGTAATTCTGGGTTTATGCTGGGAGATGCTGGGCAAAAGGCAGGACACACCTGGACTGGAATGCGAGTTCATCGCTGGGCCCTAAGCCACCCACACTCACATGCTGTCACAGTCAGATGCTTAAGGTGGGTTACGGGAGACAGGTCATGAATGTTCTGCATAGACAGACCTAGAGCTGAGTATAAACTCATATTTCTAAAGTTATGTGAAAATGCCTGTCCTTTTTAAAGTATTGAAGGTATTCCATTGCTCAGTGAACAAAATCTGAAGACCCTGGTATGACGATTGTTCTTCAGTGCAAAATTTGTCAGTCATTATGGGGTTAAAGTTATCCATCCTCCATCTGCATGGGTCATATACCCCAGACAGAACAGATTACAAGGCTGGGGTGTACTCTAGGCAAGATGCTAGTCCATCCTCACCCATCCTTTTTCTGTTACCACTTATCCTGGTCAGGGTTGTGGGGGGGGGGGCGAGTAGTGTTCCAGAGCCTATCGGCACAAGGCAGGGATCAACCCAGGATGGGGCTCCAACCCATCAAAGGACACACGCACACATACACCTATGGACAATTTAGGAACTTCAGTTAACCTCATCATGTTTTTGGGCTGGGGGGAAAAAGCACAGTATCTGGAGGAAGCCTCACGACAACATGGGGAGAACATGCAAATTCCACAAACATGGAACCATGGTAGAAACTTGAACCCAGGTCCTAGAGGACTAAGGCAACAGTGCTAGCCACTGCACAACTGAGCCACCCTGTTCTCCCCTGCCCTGTTAATGTCATTCATTCATTTTCCATTCCCACTTGTCTTGGGTTATAGAGCCTGTCCAAACAGGGTATCCACATGCAGATAATTTGGCAATTCTATTTCACTTTACCATGTTTTTGGACTGGGGGTGGAATCTGGAGAGCCTGGTGGAAGCCCCATGATGAGACAGGGAAAACATGCAAACTCTGCACAGACAGAGCTGGGGAAGAAACCTGAACACTGGTCTCCAGAGGTGTGAGAACTATGCTAACCAGTGTGCTGTCCACTTTAATGTTATTATATGACAAATTAGATTTATATAAACTCAGTAGGTTGAAATCATTACAAAAAAGCACATACCTTTTCCAAAAATAATGCTATTTCTTTTAGTTAAACCAAATCTTAGTTAAAGTTCTCATCCTTACCTGATATCTTTTGGACATCAATAAATATGCTAGTAACAAATAGATTAGTCTATTTTGCCCGTGTGCATATCCATTGTTACACCAGTTTGCTATTGGAGGAGTTTCTTTGTTGACTGTTCCCCACTATTATCCATTATTGATATCTGAATATCACCTGAATGCAAAAACAAGCCAACATCAAGTCCACTTACGCCAGGAAATAAAATCCCTAATCTGTTGCACCAGGGTGTGTCAGAAGACAATTTACCTTCTCTCTCCCTCCACAAAGTGAAGGCAACTAAAAGAAATTCTAAATGACTAAAAAAAAAAAGCAACTACTTGTTTGAAAAAAAAATGTTTACAGCATGCAGAAACATAACTATGCAGTAAATTCAAAGCTCTGTCTCAATGTGCAGCTGTCACATGGCCTTACCTCACCGATGGTGCAGGACTCATGGACGTTTGCTGCCGTCTGCAGTGCAACCTTATATTCACCTGTGTGATGAGTCCTGGGAGTGTGAAAGCCATGCCCCCACCTCACGTGACAGGCAGTAATTTTTTTAAATACTGTTTTTGTGACCTCGGGTGACCCAGAAGGAGACAGGGGGGGGGGAGGTGGTGGTCAGGGAAGTTATGAGCTTGTACTATTTACGTGTTTGTGAAATAATTAATCGTTTATTGTTCAATTACTGAATGAAACAAGTTTCCATGAAATGCACACTTCACACGCAAGGTGAAAACCAAATGAGCAGATGCATCGTTTTCAGCCTGTAATATAGATTATACCTCTGCACTACAGAGACCAGTTATTGTAAGTATAACAGTTTTTTTTTACAGATTTAGCCACAGTGTATTTGGAAGTGTAATGGATGCTTCCAAAGAGGACAAAGACAAAAGACAGACATATTTAAACTGTCAGCAAAAGTAATAGACAACTATATCAGCTGTTACATAGGGTAAAGGTCAGAGAGAGATTAATTTCCCCTGATCTATCAAATTCAAAATGTTAAAATTCAGAAATTCACAAAACAATTATATTAGCATATTTATGTAATTGTATTCAGAAACAAATGCACTACTTTTCATGGTTTTATAATTCAGAAAATGCTGATCACCTTTCTGCCTCATCTCAACTGGAAACAGCTGAAACTTTAGCCTCCTGACTGACTGTGTGCCTTCGACAAAAGAGTTTTAGCAAAATATTTTTAATCTCTGTTGTCCTGAAGCAGTAAATTAGGGGGTTACCCAAGGGGGGCAGAAGGCTGTAAATTAGTACCAGCCCTATACGAGCGTCTGTGTTTATTGTTGACATGTAGACAAATAAGCGAGGAATGTAATATGTACCGATGACGCAGAACTGGGTGGAACAGGTGGAAATGGCCTTCAGCCGACCCTGCATGCTGGCGATGCGGAGGACGGCAATGATGATGTGGGCGTAGGACAACATGATGAGAGAGAAGGGCACCATTAACACAAATGATGCCAGGGCTAATGCGACTGTGGATTGCATGCTGATGTCGCCACAAGCGAGCCTATTTATTGTTACAGTGTCACAGAAGCAGTGTAGGATCTGGTTCGATCCACAGAAGTACATCTGGGAGGACTGGATGGTGGTGATACCTGGGCAGATCAAGGCCATCACCCAGGCAAACCCGTTGAGGAAGCCCATCGCTCTTTTTGTCATTAGTGCAGGGTACCTGAGTGGGAAGCAGATAGCCACGTAGCGGTCTAGTGCCATGATCAGCATGATGAGAGAGGTGAGGGTTCCAAAGTAATGTAGCATCTGCCTCTGAAACAGGCAGACGTGAAACGAGATGGTTCCATCGTCAAACCAGTACCTGGCTATGACCTTTGGCAGTGCCACGGTGCAGAAGCCAATGTCGGAGAGGGCGAGGCTCACCATGATGATGTACATGGGCTTCTGGAGGCTGGGCTGTAGCACAAAGAGCACCACAAGGAAGCAATTTTCTGCTACTGCCGTTACATAGATGATGAAAAATCCAGTGGCCATTAAACTGTAATATTTTGAATCCAGCCCAGGAAATCCAATGATGACAAACTCTGTTACAACGGAGGTCAAGTTTCTCTGTGCCATGCTGAAAAAAACGAAAGACATGAAACACAATTTTTCCAAGTTAAAATATTATCTTACTGGAGAACTTTAACAATATAAATTCTAAGTCAATTAGCTAATTCAGTTTGCTGCTTAGTTGGATGAAAATTTCAGTGTCTTCAGAGTAATTCTGGGTCTCTGTTGGGAGGTGCTGGGCAAAAGGCTGGACACACCTGGATTTGGATGCAAGTTCATTGCAGGGCCCTAAGTCACCCACACTCACACATTTTCATAGTCAGATGCTTAAAGTGGGTTATGGGAGACGAGACATGAATATTCTGTACAGACTGACCTAAGGCCAGGGACACTTCCGTGCACAGGCTTACCTGGGCTGAATCCCAGGGGCCTCTGCTAAAAGGGGGCCCCATCCAACCTTGTAAATAAATTTTTAATCTTACACTTGCCACCTAGTAGTGACCAAAAGAATGAGATTGTGGATACAAGTGGCAGAAATGAGCTTCCTTCACTGGGTCTCTAGGGTCAGCCTTAGAGATAGTGTGAGGGCCTTGTACATCAGGGAAGGGCTCAAAGTAGATCTGCTGCTCCTCTGCATTGAAAGGAGCCAGCTGAGGTCGTTTGGGCATCTGTCTAGGGTGTTCAACCAGGAGGAGGCCCCGTGGCAGAGCCAGGACAGGCTGGTGAGACAATATCTTTTGTTCGCCTGGGAACTCTTGGGTATCTCCCCGGGGCTGGAGGAGGTGGCTAAGGAGAGGGAGGTCTGGACATGTCTGCTCTGACTGCTGCCCCCATGACCTGGACCCAGATAAGCGGTGGATGACGGATGGATGAGTTGCCATCCATCCTGTATTTAACAGGATTTAAAAATAATATTTTGAAAAATAAAATGCTGTGTCCAGCAGTGTTCATTTTGAAAGCAAATTTTTATGTAGTTTTAGTCATAGTCTCTTGACTAAAATGTAATTTAGTTTCAGTCATAATTTAGTCATCTCAATCATTTTAGTTTTAGTCTAGTTTTAGTTGACTAAATATCACAAGATTACAGTTGCCAAATCTCAAGCATCTGGCATGACACTCATGCTTTCAAACTCATGCAGGAAATCATACAGCAAACCTATATTATTCCATTATAAACCTAAAATTAGCTACGTCAAACGTGTATTTACATGGTTAAATACAAAAGCAGACTATTTACAAGGTAACTGTTACATTTGTGTGCAGACATCTCGAACTGAAAATCTCACTCCAGCCAGCTGGCCTAAGTTGGCAACCCTGCATTTTATTTGAAATGAAAAGTAAAATGCACTGTTTTCACCCGAAATGGCTTGTCATTCCGTTTGCTTTGTTACTCCGACAAATATAAAGCTAATATGAAAAAAACATAACATGTTATGTTTTATATCTTTTCTAAATAATATGACCGCCCATATCCTACTCTAATAGGATTGAAGTGATACGTTTTTATGTATTTATATTAAAATGAGACTTTAATTTTATTACCAATATGGGATTATCGAAACCAATAGGCCTACTTACATCCACAAAAACTAAAATATATGATATATTGTAAACACGACTGTATTAGGGTTTTACGGCTTAAGTTAAGCACTTTAAACATTGTCACATTTTATTTATTTTCTCTTATTTTGAAATGCAGCCCTACTTTTAAAATGTCCTTTTAAAACTAGTAAATGAGAAAACATTATACATATTGGCAGTCATACATATACTGTATGTTCAGCTCTATGTCACATGACAATAAAGTTTTTGAATTGTACTGAATTAATTTGATTTGACAGTCAGGTATTGATTACATGCAATGTTGATACAACTAATAGACTACTTAAATATATATCACACTAAATAGTTAGACATTATGATCTTCTGGACCTTTGCTTCAAGAAATTTTCTGGACCTCTTTAAATTTTAGTTGAATACCCCTGCCTTACGTGAACTACATTAGTTCTGATTGTATCACGTCTCTGGCAAACGTTTTCGTCTCGTTTTTATTCGTTGATGAAAGTGTCATTACACTTCGTCATAGTCTTAGGTGTCGCGAAATCATTTTCATTTAGTTATCGTCTCGTTTAAGTATGAAAATAAAGGTCATTGACGATAACAATGACGAACAATTTTCATTAACAAAATTAACACTAGTGTCTAGTACCAAACCAATATGTTTTAAATGTATTTTTAATACATGAATTACAAATGTTATTGTTGGGAACCCCCCCCTCCCCCCCACTTGGCAAATTATTATTGCCGGGCATCACATATACTACTTCTCAATTAACAAAATCTGAAGACCTTGGTATGACCATTGTTCTTCTGGTCAAAGTACAACAGTCACTCCATTATGGGGTTAAGGTAACCAACCCATCCTCCATATGCCAGGAAAGTGACTAAAAGAAATTCTTAATGAGTAAAAAAGCAACTATTTGTATGAAAAAATGTGTACAGCTTAAGCAGTAGACATACATCTATGCAGTTATGGTGGATTCAAAGTGCAGCTGTCACATGGCCTTACCTCACCGATGGTGCAGGACTCATGGACGTTTGCTGCTGTCTGCAGTGCAACCTTATATTCACCTGTGTGATGGGTCCTGGGAGTGTGAAAGCCATGCCCCCACCTCAGGTGACAGGCAGTCATTTTTTAATACTGTTTTTGTGACCTCGGGTGACCCAGAAGGAGACAGTCAGGAGAGGCGGCAGTCAGGGAAGCTATGAGTTTGTTCTGTTGGGGGCAGTGCGTGGCTCAGTGGGTTAGGATGCCATAGCAGTGATCTGAATGTTGTTGGTTCAAATCACAAACTTGACAGAGTGATTGCAGTGTTGGGTCCCTGAGCAAGGCCCTTAGCTTCCAGTTGCTCCAAGGATTGTCTGGTCCTGCCTTCTCTCAAAAATGTCACCTTGGGCGGTGGGGGGAGCATTTGCTAAGTGACATGTATTCCCAAGTTTTTTAGCTAAATCAGTTTTCACATCCCAGTTTTAGGCAATCAGCCAACAGTTGTTCTTGAAGGTACCTAGATCCATGTGTATCTTTCCTGTTTTTCATTGGTGCTATTCACACATCAGTGGGTTAGTGTTTAATCCCCTTTGTTGCAGACTAAGTTCTTTATATTTCGACAAAATACAAATCTTGCACCTGCACACATTAGTTATTGGACTAAAAAAAACTTCCAAGTAGAAAAGAGAAAAGGCTTCCAAAGTAACTACTTCTGTCAGTGGTTCTGACCATGTTAAACCATCCCTGTGTGATATGCTGTTGGGCTTCTGCACCTCAGGAGATGGCCTTGCCAGTGAAGAACACCTCAGTTGTACTTGTTCATTTTAGTCTGACTTGAAATACTGCATTTATAAGCTTGTGGTTTTTAATAATATTTCAATGCACGGTATGCTATTTCTGTACAAAGCAGAGAAACCAATTTAAGAAATTTCTAAAATATAGGCATTTCAAAGAAATATTTTGAATAAATATAGCCTCAGTAATTTTGAACGGATGGCCAAGAACGGTGATGTTGATGTGGTCAACGTGATGAGGGCGAATAGTACCAGTGACACCATATGGTGTATTTGGCTGATCCTACACGCTTAGTGATGTTTCCAAAAGTGAGATGGTGTGAGTGGATGGTCTAACTGGATGCGAGATGAGGAGTGGATGATCCAACTGGATGCAAAGAAGTATAAACGGGAGGTCTGGATAGTGGTGGCACCTTGGGCAAACCTGGCTATCTCCCAGGAAAACCTGTTGAGGAACCCAAGTGGTGTGGAATCCTAGAGCTACCATCAGCAAGATGAGAGCTGTATGGGTTCCAACATAATGGACAATCTCCTTCGTTACAGGTAGATGTGTACCCAGGTGGCTCCATCGTCAAACCAGTACTTGGCTATGCTCTTTGGCCATCTCACGGTTCAGAAGCCAATGTCGGAGAGGGCGAGGCTCAATGTGCCGATGTACATGGGCTTCCATGAACACCATAAGGAGGCAGCTTCCTGCCACTGCTGTCAGGTAAATGATGAGAAAGTTTTTGGACATTATTCTGGACCAACTCCCAGAACGCACATCATGAAAAATTGTCAGAGTGGAAGTCTTGGCTTCCTGGCAACACAGTCACATTTTCTGCGTCCCCTTGCTATATAAAGTCGCGACAGTTTTAGAAGACACATCTGCTTACGACTAATTTGTTTTCACGAGTGGGAACGCGGGTGTGTGTATGTGTATATGTCACACCCGGCTCGTCCGATCCTCGTGTGTGCCACGCCCCCTCATTACCCACGTGTTCTACCCTGATTGTTCCCAGCTGTTTGATGTTAGTTTTGACCTTTTTAGTGTATATCAGTCCACGTCTACCGGAGCAGGAACTGAAGATGACGAGAAAATCGTAATGTTAAATGGTATGACAGGATGACCGACCTCAAGCTACATTAAGCTGACCTCGAGCTACAGCTTCAATGGCTGTGGGTTGTACGGGTGGTGTAGAGTTTGCATGTTCAGTCAGATTTCCTCCTGCAATCCAAAAACATCCTCAAGTAAATCCTTATAGATTTATTTGTTGTCTTTCCATATGTTCATGCATTAACAAGATAAATAATAGCAACTTATAATTTACCTGAATGAGCTTCATTAATATAGTCAAACAACTGTGTCTATATGGGTAAATGGTGAGTCCAGCATCATCAGGGCCAGTGCTGCAATTTAATGTTAAGATAAAGCCAGTTAAAAAAACAAAGAAGGGGGGTGGAGTGTGACTCAGCAGGTTTGACACTGTGCCCATGATTATTAGGTCACCTGTTCAAATCTCAGGGCTGACAGAGTGGTTTCCCAGTTGGGCCTTTAAACAAGGCCCTTAAGCCCCAGCTGCCCCTGGGAATGTACAACCCTGCTTTCTCAATTGTATGTTGCTTTGTATAGAAGTAGCTGCTCAGTAAATAACATGCAAATAAATGAACTGATTGTTTGACATGTTGTTGCATTAAAGATTAGAAGGTGTGATGGTACAGAGAAGTCAGTAGCATTAGCCACAATGCTTTGTTCATTATACTGTCTGCATTGGAAAACTGAGATGGCGTCACCCCTCCCTAAGAGCTTTGCATTGCAGCCTTCCTTGACACCCACCCCCTCCCCCTCCACCGAACTGTCACTCACACCTCTGACACGCTCCTAGACCCCACATAGCCACCTGAGCTCAGGTGTCGCACTGCTAATTGACCCTGGTAATTGGCACTAGCTCCATAAACAACATGTGACTCATCTGAGCCCCGGAGAATCCTCACAACACTTGCCTCATTAATGTGTACGGGGGGACCATGCTCCGCATCACCGGAATCCGTATGTCCCCTCCCAGAACACCACAAGTGTTACTGTACTTGGATCAAATGAGGTCAATGTTTTTGTGTTGTTCGTATCTCTTTGTTTACATGAAAAGCTCCCTTATTCAGACATTCTTTACAGGTCTCACGCTAAATGCTACACACCAGTTACAAGTTTACTTTGAAATTCTTATGCCATAGTTGCAGGGTAGGGATCAAGTGCATGGGAGGACAATAGGACAAACAGCAGTGCAATAAGAAACAAGACAAGGCAGAAGCCAGCACATAAGAAGTGCACGTATATATTCAATAAATAGGTGGTACAGAGGGAAAAGATGTGCAAATAGCCACAAATGTAGTATAGCGATTAGCATGTCTATCCAGATATAGCAAAATATCAAGACACATCTAAAATATTTTTCGATGCACAGAAAATCAGGGTATTTTAATCGATATTTGACTAAGAATGGATTTTTGGATCTATAAATAGCAAGAGCTTTATCTTTATTTGGAATCGGTTACAAACTGTTTACAGACTAAGTCACATTTCCCCGAAGATCTTATGTTTCTTGTTTGTTATTTATTAGCTTTTAGCAGAAGC